CGACGTTGGAATGGACAGAAACGCGCCAGCTCTAAAAGTATTTAACGCGTGTCGCGATGCTGATAACAGATGACGAGGAAGGCGTTGGAAAGACCAGGTGGAGAAGGACTTGGCTTCACTTGACGCTTCCAATTGCTGCCAGTTGGCACAGCAGAGAAACGACTGACGTGCTGTTTTGGACTCGGCCAAAATGCTGAGGCGGTTACAGCGCTGATTAAGAAGAAGAACAAGAAATGAGGAGAAGCATGAGTTGATAATAATAAAATCAGCTTTATACCAGCGAATTCTCCTGCAAGCGAACCCATTTACCACTCTATGTAGAGAGATTTTATGCGTTTCAAATTCTCAGCAGAGACAACAGCTGCTTTGGCCCAAGTTGATATTTTCGCAAATTAAGTGTCAGCCAGTCACAGCCAACCAAGCAGATAACTAGCCAGGTATCCATACAGCCAACGAGTAGAAACAACACCAACCAGCAAAAGCATTAAAAGCAGCGAGAAAACTAAATATTACAGTCGAGTAAAGTATGATTTACTTTAAGTGATACCAATTTGCATATTAAAATCGCGTCGAAGCGAGCGAATATAAACAAAAACACAGAGTAACAGAGCAAGAGTGGCGGAGAAAGAAATGGTAAAAAATTCGAGTATGCGGAAGCCAAGGGGTGGTAGGTAATAAGCGTTGAAGAGAGTTTTGCAGAAGTTGTAGGTGGGACGGAGATGAAAAGCAAAGTTAAGTGTCGAGCAGTCAACCATGCAGACGACCAACATCACATGCCACACAGCACACGCCATTCGCCACATGCCGCCTGCTAGGCAAGGTGGTCGCGCTGCACAGTGGTTCAAAACTGGAATTTAGTGTTCACAATTCAATGGGGTCTTTATTTTGCACTCAATTTGATCATTTTTTTTTTTTATGAAAGCTAATAAAATTTGCAAGAGACCTGTTGAGCTCGATTTTTTCAACTTTGTTTGTCTGTATTAAATTTTTTAGTGCAAAGTGCAGAAAGAGTAGCAATTTTGAAGAAAATCGATTCTCCTGTTCCTGTTAATAAATGTTACATAATAAAAACGAGTTAAAAACAATTGTAGGGTGCACCCGAAATGAAAAAAAATAAAAATTTACAAAAAAAATTTGAAATGTTTTATAAAAAATTGTCACTAAAATTAAAAACAAAACTTGATTTTCAAAAAAAATTTGATTTAAAAAAAATTAAGTGCAATTTGCAAGTTGCTAAGAGGTCACGTTGATTTTTCATAATTTTTTCGCTAACATTTCGAGCACATCTGCATGGTAAATGGGAGAAATAAAAGCGTTTGTTATATTATTAAAAATCAACGCGAACTCTTGCAGGCGGCTAACTTGCACTTTATTACACTAAAATTTAATGATTCATAAAACTGCATACCCATACTTTTTGTTGAAAATCAATTTTTTTTTTATTTTAGAGACAATTTTTTATAAAACATTTCAAATTTTTTTTTGTAAATTTTTTTTCATTTCGGGGCACCATACAATTCAGGAGAATCGTTTTTCTTCATAACTGCTACTTTTTCTGCACTTTGCACGAAAAAAAAATTTTATAATTAATTTAATTTTTTTTAAAACATTTCAATAATTATTTTTTAATTTTTTTCGTTTTGGGAGAACACTAGTTTTTATTATGTAACATTTTTAACTGAAACAGGAGAACCAAGTTTCTTCAAAATTGCTATCTTTTCTGCACTGTACACTAGAGGTATACGCCGCCGGGCCACGCCGCCGCCGCCGCCGTTTTTTGTCATTTCTCACGCGCCGCCGCCGAGTTACGGCGCAGCGGCGGCGGCGGCGGCGTTCGACGCCTAGGGAATTTTGTACAAAATTTTCATGTTGTATGCACATTGAAATACATCGTTTGAAGGAACTAAATACTACTCGTATAAAAGCACTATTTTACGAAATGAAAATTACATTTTTAAAAGAAGTTTTTTTGGCATAATTTGGGCCACTGAACATTTAAAAAAAAGGCGTAACTCAGAAAAATATATAGGTAACATGTTTTTCGATCGACAGCGTTTATTACAGTTAAATTAGGGTCGAATAGGGTAGAACAGTTTTTTTCCTAAGTAGTGGTCAAACCCCAGGAAGGTTTTGCTCCCGCGCATCGCAATATTTTCTACACAGAGTTGAAGTCCCCCTTTTTGGTAAAAATTACTATTATTTTGCATTACATTCTGTTCTCCTTAGAAAAACTTGGCACTTAATATATTATTGGAAATTTAACTATTTATAAGCCATTTTTCAAACAGTGGGTCAAAAAGGCCCGTTGTGGTGGTAGTTGATGGGTTAAACTTTTGGAAAAAAGTAGGCCAACCTTATTTTCAATATATAACCCGCAAAAAATCGTAAGAACTCCGTAATTTAACATAACGGTTGAAAGCTTATTGCAAAACTTTATTGATAGCGACATAAATTACCCCAATAACTTAACCTTTAAATTTTTTTATTTCTTTAAATTTAAATAGTACATACGCATTTTTAGAGTATATAGAGATGTATGTATATTAGGGTGCCCATCGAAAATCGTTTTTTTGTACCTTAGTACTACATATTTTCATATTGTGGAAATTATCGATGGTCAAAATTTAAAAAACTCATTGAAATTCAAGCAAAAATAGTCTCTCAAAAACTCATGAATCTAGAAAATCGTATTTTCTGACCTAAATCGACAGGCCGCGACCTCTAAATGGCCTTTAAAAAATCTATAAAAATAGGCAATAATATTTCTCATAAAAACGAATCAAATTAGGGGGTAGGGTCTTTAAATTTTCAAAAAAAATCATTTTCAATGGGAAACCTAATGTATATACTATATAGACTTTCTCCTGTTCGCCCATCCATCAGCAGCAGTCACTCAACATTTGAATTCAATGAATGAATTAAATAGAATTATAATCTGATGACATGATGAGATTAGAAGCCTCATGGCTCTTTGGGCTCTACCTTATGGGCAGTAGCGCCAGCGTTTCCAGACGCGCCGGCGTCGCCGCCGCCGCCGATTCTTTTTGAAGTTGAACACGCCGCCGCCGCAAAGCCTGTCGGCGTAAACCTCTACTGTACACTAAAAAAAAATTAGTACAAACAACAGAAAATTCAAAAATCGGGCTCAACTGGTCTCTTGCAAATTATATTAGCGTTCATTTAAAAGAAAAAATTTATCAAATTGCGTGAAAAATTAAGGCTCCAATTAATTGTGAACACATAATGCTAATTTTGAACCACTGTACACTGGTCGGTGGCGTTACACACACAAGCAAATGTTTGCTGGCGTTTTTGCGTTTATTCTTGCTGCCGCCTCCGGCTTGTTATTGGCATTGTTGCCGCCCAGTTTACAATGAAAATTTACGCTTTACAGGTGTGGGTGTGTATGTGAGTGTGTGTGTGTGGAAATATTATGTAGCAGCCGCCTCATTAGCTATGGTGGTCCAGTGAGTATGCTGTCTGGTTGGTGGTTTGGTTGGTTGATAGACTTGAAAGGCAAGCACACTCAGCGTGAGACACACACACACGCGCACCCACATACACACCCCCACACAGATAAACACTCGCACACATGCTGCGGAGACACATTAATCGAATACTCATCAACACCTACGCGCTCGTTTGACACACTTCCAATGACGATGCCGCGCGCTTTGAATCCTGCGGGTTTGCAGCACAGCAACAACAAAGGAGTGCGGTGGGGAGCTCAGCGGCAGGAACAGGTAAATGAAAATTTAAGCTAATAAATTTAGTACAAGTATATTTGTACATACTTGGAAAATTTTAAGTATTTAATAATTCAAGATGTGGTCGGAAGGCAATTCTCTGCTGAGCTTACCTTAAATTTGGAACGGCTGCTGCTGCGGCGGCCGCCTGTAATGGTGGTGGCACATTATATGGGAATGGTAATTTAGCGGCTAAAGCTGGATTCTCGAAAAGCATGATGGCTGTTTCTTTTTTTGTTGTTGTTGTTGTTGCTACTATGGTGTATTTAATGCTGTTAAATAAAAATTATCGCGATTTTGTCGAGACACAATTTTTTTTATTATTTTGTAGGTATAATTTTTTTGTAACATAAAAGAAATTTTTAAAACTTTTTTTTAGGTTTTGACTGTGCAAAAATCTGTAATATCTTTATTAATCGTAATTAAAACTTTTTGATATTTTCTTTAGTTGCATAAATTTTGTTATGAAATATTAATTAGGAGCTCAGCTTTTCATTATTTTGAAAACCCCTTAATTTTTTTTAAACACACTTTATAGCTGTTGTTTAAGAAGCATACATTTTACTTTTATTTTCAAATATTAATTAAATTTTTTTCTCTTTCTCTTATCTTCAAGACTGAATCTTTCGCTTTTTTTGTTTTAGCTTTTAATTTTACTTTAAAGTTAACCCTTTAGTTTATTGTAGAAATTTCACAAACTCACAAACTGAAAATGTGTTGTACTTTTGGTTTTTATTTAATTATTCATTTGACAATATTTTTTTTTTAATTTTACCTTTGTTCATTTGTTTAATATATTGTATTTTTCACTTGTTTCTGTTTTGATTTTCAAATTTCTGTATATAAAATTTAATCATGAAATTAGTTTCAATAATTTCTTAAATTGTTAATTTTTTTTGTTTTGTTGCTTCTTTAATTTGATGTTTTATTGTAAAACACTGCAATTTTAGATTGATTTTTTTTACTTATAAATAATTTTTTGAGTAACTCGTAGATATTTAAATGTATAGTCTTAAAATTCCATCTTCACTCTATAGAAAGATTTCTTTTACTACTTATAACACTGTATTTAGTTGATTTTAATGATAAATTTTATTAAGTGATGGATTTGAAACTTTTAACTTTTTTCAACACTTTCATTTGCTTTTTGAAAAATAATTTTCAATATTTTTTAATTTTTCTCATTGATTTTCTCTTTTTTCCCACTTTTCACAAAAGTGTATATTTTTCAAAACACTTTACAATATTTTTTTGTCAGTTTTTCATAATACTTGTTTTACTGCCAGTGAGCTGAAATGAAAGCAAAAATACAGATTATGAAAAATATTAAAAAGATAAAATAAATTATGTTTTGCGCTAAATTTCCACTAGGCACTGAAATTACAAATAAAAATTTATAATTTATAATAATGCCCTTGGAAATGAATTTAATAACCATTTTTTGTTCAGCGTAATGTCATGAAAATTTTTTAATTGCCAACTTTTTTCATTAAATTTTTTGTTATTTAACATCCAGTAGAAATCCAACATTACCTACACAAATTAATTTGTTTTTTTTTCGCTTAAAGGTTTATGTAAAATTTCATATCACATTTGGTAGTTAAAAAATTTGGTATAATTTTTGAACCTTTAAAAACTGGGCATAATTTTTTTGTACGTAATTAAAAAATTGAACACAATTTTTCTGGTAATTTTGCATGAGCAGAATTTGTAGGTGATTTAAAAACGAGGAACAATTTTGAACATTTAAAAACTGAACATAATTTTGTTCATTTCAAAAATGTACACAATTTTTTCGTAATTTTTCTGAGTATAATTTTTAGGAAATTTAAAAACTGATTTTAATTTTTGGACATTTAAAAACTCGATATAAATAACTGCTAATTTAAAAACCAGACTTAATTTTTTGACAATTCAGATATGAGTTCAATTTTTATAATAAATTTGTGTTCATTTAAAAACTAGACTTAATTTTTTGACAATTCAAAAAATTGTTGAATATAATTGTTATAAGGGCATAAAATAACCAAAACACAAAAAAAAATAAAATTTTTGGTCATTTAAAAAATTAGCAAAAATTTTTCAATATTAAAAAACTGAACAGAAATTGTATTATTTTAAAGTATTGGTGCTTCGCATACTGAACATAACTTTTTGGCCATTTAAAAACTAGATATTTATAAACTGAACATTGAAATTGACATTTTGTCAAGTGTTTAAAATTTTTCGCTTAAAAGATTGATAAAAATCAGGCAACGACGACACAATGGCAAAATGTGAATAAAACAATTGATTCGGGTTTCTAAGTTGTTCCGAAAACAAATCGAGAACAAAATCATTTTAGTGAAATGCACAATTGTTGATTCTAAATCAGAGAAAGCTGATCGTTTTTTGTTCTCGATGCCTGTGAAATACTGATAAAAAATGGAATTACACATTTTTCTCATTCATACGTGAATCGTACATCACTTTTCCTTCTCTTATCTACTTTTCAACACAGGCCTATATGCCGCTCGTTTGTTTTCCTATCGCTTGCCTCTCAACATACATACATTCATACTTACATATGTACATTAATAAACACAATCGAGCACTCTAATATAAACAGAAAAAATTCCCAATGTTGACTAATTGACTTCATTGGCGTGATTGGTGTGAAACTAAGAAAAGATGCAAACGATACGCTCGAGCAACGATTGTCGCCAGTTAACTTGTTTACTGATAACATTTTAATTAAAAATCTTTGTTTTTTCCACTTAAAAAACAAAAAGTAAAAACAAAAACAACTCCTCTAAGAAATGTCAAACTAATCAACCAAAACATTTGCGTTCAAGATAAAAATGAAACACGTCAACCAACTACATTGGCAATAACAACGAGAAATCGAAACTTGCAGACCGTTTATTTATTTTTTTTTTTTTTTGTAATTATATAAAGAAAATTGTCGAGGAGAAGGGTTTGAGGGTGTAGGAAAATGGGGGTGGGCCTGTCATGCTCACTCGTGCACTTGAGTTTATTAGTTTTCTGCTTTCGTGTTTCGTGTTAACAGTTATCGACTTTTCAAGATTGAAACTTTGATTTTGTTGTGTACTGTGTATTCCGTTTCATATTTTTTAAATCACAGTGAAAATCGTTTGTGTTTTGTAGATGTAGGAATGTTGGTTGGTCAATCAAATTAGTAGCAGTTGTACTTGAAACTTTAGTATGGAACCTAAATCTACGGATTTCACTTCACTTTTGGATATCATATGTTCACCCTGGTGCCTTTTACGTTTGTGCATCAGGGCAGGGCATTATTCTAAGATGTGCTGTGCAGTCTCGTTTTCCATCCTGCAAGATCTGCATCGCTCCTGCAGTGTCCTATCAGGATTCCTGTAACAATTCTTAAGTTATTCTTTGATAAGCTCATTCCTTGAAGCGTTATAGGTTATGTGTTCCTAAAAGTGCTTTGGACTGTTTTAGACCTAACCGAACAAGTACAAAGAGTAGCCCTTTTCTCAAACCACGGACAGGCTCTGGGCCGGTGAAAGGGGTTGATTCACCTTTCTTCGCTAGTTTATCGGCAATCTCGTTTCCTTCAATACCAATATGTCCCGGAATCCATAGAACCCAAACCTGATTGGTCAGACCAAGGGTATTCAGCTTTTCGTGTAACTCCATCACCCGTTTAGATGTTACCTGGTGAGATCTAAGGGCCTTGATAGCCACTTGGCTGTCAGTCAAGATCGCGATGTTCTGATTCCGGTAGTTTCGCTTGCTATTAAAGTTCGCGCATCTTTCTATGGCGTATGTTTCAGCTTGAGAAAATATACATATGTTTTTCCATGGGTTCCGGGTATCTTAACCTCGGTCCCACTACCCCCACCCCGCTACCCTCGTCGGTCAATGAGCCAACAGTGTACCAGGTAATCATGTTTTGGTTTATCCGATCAAAGAATGTTAAATGTGTTGAACAAATTGCGTATTACCTGAGGCTTCAAAGCCAGCAAGGCTTTCAAATATAATGCAAATATTTCGAAGATGTGTCATTCTCTGACAGAAATTTCTATTGCACGAATCTCTGCTTGAGAAATGGTTGGTGGGGTATCTGAACCCTTGGTTTTGACTTTATAAAATTAGGTAAAAAGTATACTATCCTCAGCTTTGGCCCATCTTTATAAGAGAAGATAAATAAAAGGTATTACAGAACAAGACACACTATGACCCAAAAGTTCTTTTGTCTCTCTAAAAATTATCTGTAACCCAGTAAGCCCAAGACACGCTCGGCTTCCATAATGAATTCTCAAAGGGCCTTGGTAGTTGAGTTCGTCATTTTCAAGGGTTTGGCCATTGGAGCCTTAAAATAAGTTCATCTTTTTCTAGCCAAGTCTGGCCCATCGCCAAGAATGCGTTCGGAAGATTCCTCATACTCAAGCTAGAGCCAGCATTCCAACTCTCTGATAACACCTATTCGGTGCATATGAAATACTAGTTGGTAGCGGCCCGTAAGGTAAGAGAGAGTAGTCTGATGTCATTTATATTCAGTTGAACAACATCCGATGGTGTCATGTTCCAAATTTTGCACGGAGAAGATAACAGTTCTCCAAGAAGTATCAGTCTGCGATTCATGATACGAAAACGCCATGAAATTGCTGTGTCCTGTCAGGTAGTCAGTGAGAGTTCTAAGACACTCACGGCTAAGTTGAAGCAGTTTTTCGGAGCTCAAGTGGGCAGCAGTCTGTGATTCTTGCCAGCTCCCCAGTATCTTGTATATGTATATATTTAATGCTGATTTTATTGTGCAGTCTTTGTACGCTCCAACAGGCCTGCTTTTATAACTAAAATGTTGTTAAAAGAACATTTGTTTTGAGAAAATTATATGTATAATTTTTCTTTACCTGTGTTACTATCGGCCTATTTTGTAATATTAACCCATCATGGAACTTATTAAAGCCATGAGACAGTGTGGCGAGAAATGTTGACGGTCTCAAAAATTTTTTGAAGATAGTCTGTCTGACCACAATGCTAATCGTAGGGTTAATTATTTATTCTGAATGCAGTTGACCGTGTCGGTAGTGAACAGTGGAAAAAATTGACTTTCTTCGGTGGAATTAAGGTTCGAAAAAATTTTAAAGTATTATAAATAGTTTTCAAATACATATATTTAGAAAAGGGAAAGCAATAATAATTAAGACCACTTAACATTTTACAAACCTAGGGTACCGAGGTCCAATATACTGGACGCTGAATAACGGTAAAACTAACAGCTTTATAAAAATAATAATATTGTATTTTTGAAATCAACGATCAAAAATTACCCGCTAAACAAATTCAAATTTTCAGTTACAACCGTTAATGTTATTATTATTTTTTTGTACTGAAAGGGCTAACCAGATAATGCACATATTTCTTTTCCCGCTAGGTAGCGCTGAGTATGGTGTTTCAAAGATTAAAGTCGGGCGCCACCTATCGGGAGAGGAAATACAAATTGTGGTAGTGATTTTTATTGTCTATCAAAAAAGGAACAAATTATTCAACTCGGTTAAGTTATAAAGAATATTAAAGTTTTTAATGCTTAAGAAAAATTAGATTTTCATATTTGTAACAAAAGTAAACAGATTTTTGAACAGGGAAATTTTTGGAAAGTGCCATCAAATTGGAAAAAAACTTAAATTAAATCGTTTGATTTAAATTTTTTCCGAAAAATTTTCATGCGTTTATATAGCAAATATTTTCAGGAGTCATAACTTTCTTTAAAAAGCCTAGACAATTTTTTTCCTATAACCACTGGAAATCGCATAATAATTAATTGAGCTATGAATTTTTTAGTCTGGGAGGTCATGCGAAAGAATTTTTTTCTAAGTTGTCAAAACGCGAAAGCGAAAGACCACTTTGTTTCCCATGTAAACATCCAAAAATGTGCAGAAATAACTTTCGGAAATAAAAATTGCATATTCTAACTGCAGCTGAAAGAATTTCAACTTGCGGTGCTGTACCAGCAATTTTCATTTCTGTTGAAGATGGTGCCCAACCTATCGAGTGTTGCCGCGGTTTTGGCGAATTTTTATAAAAGTATAAAAATAGTTTTATTCAAAATTTTTTTATACATACTGTAATATTCGCAATATTTTGCATGCTAAATTTTTTATTGAGGTTCTAAAAAAATCAGGTACGCAGTTTATAGCTCCATTAAATGTTAGTATAATAATATGCAAATGTCGTTAATTTTTGAGAATGTGTTTGCTGACTGAACTATGCATTTTTTCATATAAAAAAAAATTTAAAAATAATTTATATAAAAAAAATGTGTA